AGACCTCTCAAAATCACACCACTGCCTGACAGAGGATTCACAGGGCGTGAAAAGGCAACCAGAAAGTAATCCGCAATGAGAGAATTGCCAATGCTGTTTCAAAGGCGGAGGGACTTTGATTACAGCCAGACTCGTCCTGCTTTACTAGCAGCGCTATCAAAACTGGGTTAACAAAGCCTCAGGGTCCCATTAAGAACAAAGAGCAAGGAGGGCTGGAACGACAGGGACGGATTAAGCAAGGCATGAGCAGCAGCTCCGTTACATGCTTGTAACCGTCTCAAACAGCCTGCAAAGAAGGGGGAAGACGAAGGCAACCGCAGGCTCCCTGTGTTTAATGAGCACATCCCAGACGCTAAGGCACAGTCACCGGCAGCACAGCTTTTGTACCCGAAGACCCGTTTTCGGATAAAGGGCTGGCATTCAGAAAGTGTAAATACCTGCTGTAAACATTGAGATTTTCTATTAAAACATTCAAAAATCAAGTCCACACAGCAGTGCATCTCCCACCTTCAGTGAAACGCATAAAACAAAGGCACTCCTGTCTCTCTCCCCATGAATTTCTAATGGAGCGCTCAGCTCCCTTTCAGCAGTAAATCTGCTCATGGAATTGCACCAGGACTAAAGGAGCGGAGCACGGCTCATCCATAATGCACGAACACCCACTGCGCCTGAGCTTGTCAGGAAGGACAGCAGTTTTCAATATGAACAACAGTATTCTGGGAGGCGGATGGTTAAAAATATCTATCTTACGCCTGTGTCACTATAAATTATTGACTGTACAGGGAGTTGGAAAAAAGGATTCAGCTCCATTAATAATTTATTTTCTAATCCAAAAGAAGATGGAATTTTATGCACCACTTATTACCACCGCCCCAACTGGAAAAACTAACTGCACTTCCCACCATCTGAAACCAGAATTGCCTCTCCATTTTCAAAACGTTTTTTGAAGTTTCTTCTCTAACTTGAAACATAGAGTCAAAGCCTTCCCTTGAGAAAGCATACGGTCATTCCTGAATATTCAGTAGGCACGTTAAGGATACAGAAATCCATCTCCACTTCAAAGCAGCATTACAGACACAGCACGACAGCTCTGAAATGAACTACCTCTCTTCGCTCCGAGCCTTACACAAATAGCCAGGTATCACACCGCCAGGCAGATTTTCTTGTTTGAGAAAATAAATTTGAGTGGCATTGAAAGATTTAGCACCAATCGCAAAAACACCAGATACCGATGGGTCCTTCAGGCACGACGCTGCCTGGTTTGAACACCTGAGGATGGAGGTGGTCCAGACTGCAGCATTGCTAGAAAACGATGGAACTTCACGGAGAGAGGTTTTACGATTGCCCGTACCATGTTCAAAGTATTGGCTTATTTTTGGCGTTTGTGTTGTGATTGCAGAAGTCGGGGCGGGGGGGAACATACCAAACTACTGAGAAGTGTATTAAAAAAGGGGGGTGGCACCTTATGCTGCGAAGGCTCTTCAGATCAACATCAGCTTTGGTGTGCATTTGGGAATTAAATGTTTTATACTATGGATATATAGAAAACTTTTTAAAGCTTACCCGTAAAGAAAACCATCCTTGTTCCATCTGTCAAAGGACAGCAATAAGTCATGACTATATTCAGACCCTTCCAGTGCGGCGGGTGCCTGAAACAGAAGGGGAGAGAGGGAGTCCAGTCCAGGTCTGCACACGCAGGCAGGAGGAACACATCCCGCCAAACCGAGCACTTTGGGTCAGGAAACGCTCCATCACATCTGATATTTGGTACAAAAACGGAAAACAAACTAATTCGCATGTTCAGTGACAATCCCAAACCGGAGAGATGAATCTTCTCTGCATCCTCCCTGAAATTTAGGTAGGCAAAGATTGTCATGGGGAAAGAACCAAAGCACCTTGCTTAGAATTCTAATTTATTATTAAATTACATATCAAAGCTTTTTTCTTCCCATACATACAGAGAATGCACAATAGGTGAGAACAAAAATAATTACAGTTACAATAAAATAAGTTTCAAGAAGCTGTATGAAAAGCAAAAAACCAGAAAGTGCAATCAGAAACTCATTTACAAGGGTCTGGACTGGGGTATTTTGTGAGAAAGGGTTTTTTTTTTTGTCTTGAGAGAATGTTTATTCAAACTGCTTTCCTCACTCAGTAGTAGACAGATCAACAACCGCTTACGTATTTGGAACTGAAAGCATCACACTGGTTTCAACATCTCTCAACAGGAGAGATACAGGGCACCAAGAGGACTTGCAGATGTCACCTAGAATATGGCTCAGTTTTGTCTCGGCCTGTCTTTCGCTGTAGTCTCCTGTACTGCATATTGCTCAATAGGACCCCTGCTCTGGAGGGTTTCATAATCCGGTTCTGTTATAAGGAGTTTCGGAATTATTTCCTCCTTCATAAGTGATACAGCTGTTACCTCTCCTTCCTCTTTCAAATGAAAGCTTTGGGAAAAAAAAAGTAAAAATAGGAAAAGGTTATGGATCAAGTGATCTTGGGAAACAAGCTGCTAGAGTTAAAAGAGTCCCAACTCAATGAGTTACACAGTCAGAAGTGGTGGACTAGACTTTGCTCCCTGAGTAGCACTTTTGGGGGAGCTTCAGGAACGTAGCTCCTCAGAGGACACAGCCCTGGAGGACAAGCTGTCGACAATTTATCTGAAACTTTCACATCACCTCAAAATCCACTTTTGCTCTTTCGTTTTCAACATCCAGCGAGGAACTGATCCTTTCTTCTCACAGTAATCTTAAGACTGTCCAAAAGAAAGGACTTCTAAAACTACAAGTGAAAAATTCTAGTTGATTATTCAGTGTAATGAATCCAGCAAAAAAAACTTACGTATCCAAAACCTCCTGAAATCAATATTGGTTAATAAAAAGCGCTGTGCCTTCCCTGGAAGGGCAAACTCTCGTATTACCAGAAGCACCACACTGCTTGGTCCCAGAGACGTACAGGACAGCCAAGCCCTGCCTCCACCCGTGCTTCGGCACACTGCCGTGAAGGGCTGGGGGTAAGTTACGGCTGGGGTCTGGGCTTCGGCCACACCAACACTCACTATTGACTGAACACGCAGTACTGGGTGTTGCCCGAGTGCCGTTCCTCTGCGCTAGCAACCAGCGCTTGAAGATCAGATAAACATGTAAAAATAGTCTAAAAAGCAAGGATAAAAATATTCGCGTCCCTGTGAAGCGCGGCATCAAAAGTTACCAATACGATCCCTTACGTTCTAATGCAGAGCTGAGGAGTTGTTGGACAGGTTTAAAATAGGTGCTGGTGGACTGGCAAGAAAAAAAAGCAGAAATTTAAAAAGTCGGGGTGGGGGGAGGAAGCAGAAATGTGCCCTCTAGAAATATTATGGATTTTCTCACTTCATTTCAATGGCTGAGCAATAATTTTCTTAGCGCAATTCTATTTGGTTGAGTTACAAAACTGCAACTTTGCCAGCAATTGCAGAAATGAGAATTCTTTAACCACATTGTTTTCCTTAGAGCAAGAGGAACCACACAATGAAAAACGTAGAGAACATACTTAGCAACAGGAGACATACAAACCTATATTTTGGGGTTTGAGATTAAATGCTACAAGCCACTGTTTTAATTTACGGTCCATCGCCCTAACTATAGGTCCATGTATTAGAGATGTTCAGGAGAATTAGCAAGTCTTTCCCCTCAGCTGTATGCAAGCACGCCCTTCAATGAGAGCAGGCGTTCTGCATTGCTCTCTGCTAGAGGACTACAAGGAGATGATGAAGGGGAGACTACAAGGTTAATTAAATGCATTTTTCAACACAAAACTATCTCAAAACCAACACAAATAAAAACCTTGGAGGGGCTGCCAACAGCAAAACCATTTCCAGTAAAGCTTTATCAGAGATAATTCAGCATATTTCCGTTATTTTATACTAAAATATATCAGTTCCTCCATAACATTTTCATAACATGAAAAATCAATTATGTTTACATATTTATTATAATCTACATATTTTCCATAGCAGCTTCTTCACACAGTAAGATTAAATATATGCACCAAATAATCAATTAAGTCCAGTAAAAAGACTGGTTATAAGATTAAATAAGTGAATTTATTTACGGTACTGCAGATCTCATATTGCCAACTATATAGCAACCAAATCCTACAAATCCTAAACAGAAGCATGACTGCTGATCAGGGTCCCTTGGGGGGGGGTGTGTGGAATCAAAGAAAAAGCATGGGGGAGAAGAGGTTTGATCTCCCAACACACAGATTCATTAACAAACCTCCTTTATCCATCAAGGTTTTTCATAAACCCCTTTAACGAACATTTCATTTCAAACCAGGAACATTCCCAAATCAACCAAATAATCACCCTTTATTTAAAATACAAGCCCCGCAGTTTTACACGTATTAATTCCAAATGCTTCCTAATCCCAACGACAAGATGACTAGAAGCCTTTGTTGACTTTTTAGCACAAAGTTATTAGTCTGCAAATAAGCCTTCAAATCCATACAAACATTTTAGGCGCAACAGTGTGGTTTTGCACACTACACAGGCACAAGTCTCTACTCCCTCCAACAGGTACTTCACAGACACTATAAAAAGCAGTAAAAAATTGCGTCCGTCCCGCTAGACTTTGTTCCAGAAGAGAACCTGGAGACTATCTGACATTTGTGGGTAATGGCATACACCAAATCTGTTAGAAGCACTGTAAATTGAATGTGAAAAGAGTTAATCAAGTTCTTGGAAGGATATTTCAGTGCCTCAGTTTGGATTTATTTGGTTATGATATCACAGATGGAAAAATCTGTAATTTGTTAATCGGCAATATCGAAGCCATTCCTGATGTCAGCTTTGTTGAGAGACGCAAACACAACAGGATTCACATTGCATGTCTGGACAAAAATTTTTTTTCCCCCCAGATAATGGTAAATAATACTTGTTTCACTATCCATACATTCAACTCTTTACTATGAGGAGTTATGTCCAAAAATTTTGCACGCAGATACATTTGCCTCAGGTATAACCATCATAATTTTAATTTCCAATTGACAGTTTAGATTATATCCTACTTACAGTGTAAAAATATTAATGCTATTAGAATAACTTTATCTAAATTACAATATAGACTTTTCAAACTGCTTATCATGTCTTTATAAAGACCTTTATGATGCCAGCCAAAATCAAAGTATTTACACCCAAAAGACTACTTTTAGGTGAACTCATGTTTGGTCACTTTTCAGATGACTGAACACTATAGTAAACAGCTGCTAGGACACTGTGCTCCCTTTTTACAAAGGGGGACTTGTTAGTCCCTTTAAAGCCACAAGAAACCTTACAAATCTTCCTCAGAGGGTAGTTTATTCATATTCTGTGCAAAAAGTGAACTGATCTTTTTTTTTTTTTTTTTTTTTTTACTTTGAGGAATTTGTGTGAAGCACAGTTTTCACAGCACAAATTATGCAGAAATAACTAGTATCTCAACCATGAGTTAAAAAGAATTACAGAACATGTATTTAGTAGTAAAGCAACCTGACGGCTTAAAGCTGCAATATGCTTCTCAGAGGGCAAAAGTGGTCAGCACTGTGCTTGGCCTACAGGGGAAACAGGCTTCCTGCAGAGTTTCCACCCAAGGCAAGCGTAACAATCTTTTTCCACTTACCAGCCAACAACAGACCTCCCCAGCGCTGCTGGGCACAGAAACTGTTCTACTGGTTCTGGTAAGTGTCCCATATTTACTTACCTTGCAGTGAGAAAGGGAATTAAAGACAAACAAATCCCACAAAATTTAACCAAAGGAAGATGTACGGCAGGGAAGGAGAAACACTGCAGCTTCAACCCAAACCCAGTGTCGCAGTCTACCATCATAAGCTCTAGACATCATGCTGATACTCCCAGCCATAACGAGCAGGCTGTTTGAAGTCTGTTGCTTCCCCCACTCCCTTTTCCTTGACTGGGGGGGGAGGGATGGTGGTGATGAGTTTAGCAGAGTCCATGGGGCAACATCCATCAATGAAAAGCGTATAGCAGCAGTAAGATGGTACAGATGCCAATAATGCCACCCAAGATGAAAGAATCTCGTCGTTTCCGAAGGTTGATCCTTTGAATCAGGCTGTTCACTGCTGGAAACCGATCTTTAAGGAGTCTGAGTCAAGGTCATATCAGCAAACAGGATCTTCACTAACAAGCCCCAAATTCTGTATCTGGAAATCCCAATACTGCAAGAGATGCAGAACTACTCCCGAGATGGAAAAACCAGATGCAGTAAAAAACCTGCTGGACAGTCAGCAGGATTACAACTGTACTTCGCTAATTACAGACAATCAGAGAAAAGAGAAAACAGAACAGCTTAGAGTTCACATTTACAAAGAATTCATCACCTGATCGTCTAAATTACCAGCGTTTGATATACTTTAATCTCCAATATGGGAGGCTTAGTTACTTTTAATAATTGTGTTTAAATGAGAATGAAAAAAAATGGGGCAGTTATATAAAACATCTGTGGAATTTATTTAATGGAATTCTGTTACTGGCGAAGGGAACAACCAAAGGCATTTGACTGAGAAAATCATGCACGTTGCATGACTACGCACTGTTCAGGTATAGCACGTAAGGAAGAACTCCTCCTACTTATAAAGATGTAAATCTATCTTTTAACGTACAAAATACAATTGCCAACAAGATAATAAGTTTCAGAGCTTCATGTCTTTGGAACCAAGAATCTTTTAAGGCCAAAGCTTATTGAATTTTTTTTGTTCTTGCCAGTTGCTAAGAACTGTAATGAAATTTATGGGTTACCAAGATACATCTCTTCAGGATGTAATCTGTCTAATCAAATGATGCTAATGATGTTCTTTGGGCCCTTATGACAGAAAGGAAGGAATAAGTGGGAAAACGACAAACATGCATGACTTGACAGTCCGGCACATTCTTTAGCCATGAGCACAGAATACGAGGAGAAACCAGCCAACCAAAATCTTAACATCTACAAGACTGTGACAGACAAGAGGATACTCAGGTCATGAATACTCTTAGCTGTAAACCATAACAAGCAGCAATGTATGCCAAGCTGCAGCAATGTATGCCAAGCTTCAGCTCTGTACAGTCTTGAAAGCAAAAAGCAAGAAGTAAAATGAAATTATACTTTTACAAAAATGTATAGCAGGGAAGGCCATAAAATGCTGTTGCAGATCTCTACCTGAAAATTAAGCTGCATTGATTTACATGCAGTATTCAAATTTGAGTAAAAACAACTTATTCACTCCATTCATCATTGAGATGCTTCAAGTCAGATTATCAAGTGAGACTGGTTAAAAAATGGTCTGTCAGTCACTAACGACAATACCACTACAGGTTACACAGCCATTGACATCACAAGGCATTTTGATCCCCAAATGACAGAGTGAAAAACTGTACTATACCTTTTCTTATGCACTGGCAACACAACTTTTTAGGAAAGGATACTAGCCAAGGTATTCATCTTGCTTTGTATTGACTTCAACATCCCTCTCTGCGAAGTCATATTTTCTTTAGTTGCCATGGCAATGCTGGAGAAAGAAAAAAAAAAGAGTGGATCAAGTTGTTGGTGCTAAGAATAATCTACAGCTAAAGCAAGAGGAAAGCAAGCAGGCAACACCTCTTTAGAGAACAATGAATGAGGTGAAGCAATATGAATGAAACCACATTTCCTCCATTAATCTCTACCCTTTACACTTAAATGATTTATCTTTTTATATAAGCCATTAACAATTGAAAACACTGCGATTTCTTGAAATAGGCAGGGGTTTGGCATGTCTCCCCCAGCCCCAGCAAAAAACGGTACTACGTTACAAGCAAACCTAAAGGTACTCTTCTGGCGTAAGTTTTAAATTTAGAAGTTTAACCACAGAAGCCCCGTACTTACTTTCACTCTAGAGAGCACATGAAACTTCTTGTCTGCCATCAGGATATGATGGCTACAGAAGCGTTAAGTAAATAAGAGCTGACTCACAATTAAAAATTAATTTGCAAAGCAAACGTGCTGGTTGAGAGGAGACAAAAGTGCTGTTTGAGACCTGACACAGCTCACAGAGCTTTACACAGAAGGTTTCTGGACAATCAAGCTGGGACATACAGTCACCAGGTCTTTGAAGACATTTAAACACAACAAGGCGTTGAGATCTACTTTGACTCAGGATTAACACTGTCCTCTGACTCCAGATAAGTGGGCAAAGCTTGGATTCTCCTGCATTAACGTCTCTTCCCAGCAAGCCCCACCTGACTGTTTTCCGTAAGCTGGGGTTGAGGGAGCTGGTGTATAATGAAATCCTATCAAATGATGCTTCCATCACAGCACAGATAAAACACATTTTTGAGCTTTGGTCCTAATTAAGAATATCATTCATGGACACGCAAGTTTTCATACTCTGTTTCTTTACTAATACATGGTCCAGCTGTATGTACTTTATCCAAATATAAGGACACAATACAGGTGAATATAAAACAGAATTTCCCATTTCAAATTTAATACATTCTGGAAGTTGGAAAAAAGCAACTGTGCTCTTAAAAATAAGACATTTAAATGAAGATTTTAAAGAACTACTCAGCTGACAGACATTTTTCTCTACCTTAAGTTTCTCTTCAGCTTGTAAAACAAAAAGTTATAGGGTGGAAAATGAAAGGGTAGGCTACTACTTGTAGCCCCAGGTAGTATTTCATGTAGCTACTTCGAATGCAATAGCTTTGTCAAGACAAACTGCACAGACTAATTTACACCTAGAGAAACAGTATATAAAAGTTTAGGTTCTGGAGATACGGTGCTTAAGAAGGAACAGTATGACAATACTGCTCTCCTTGGCTGGCATGCATTTTAAAAATAAACGAAGTAGGACATAAATACAGCATGGCTGGATAACTCAGAAAATGACACCTATATTGCTGTTGACTATATCTACGTGAATAACAACGATTAAAACAAATTCTTGGACAAGTTTGTGAGCCTTAAATATGGAGGGAAAGTGTTCTGGGAGAATGAAAGTTAAGCAGAACAACACAATACAACAGATATAAATATGAGAAAAGGGAACTAAAGCCATAATTTCAGAGGAGAACAAACAGATAAGAAAATGCAAAATGCTTCTTTTACCCAATACAGACATCCAAATTTTCAAGAGCATTTTATGCTTGCTCACACTCAGTGTCTGTATACAAACGCGATACAAAAATCACACTAACGTGAGCATTATTTCTAAGGAGGGGCAGGTACAAAGCACCGAAACACACAGTGCAAGCCTAACATTATTCTCAAGTTCTGCAATATAAATTGGACTCTGCATTTTACATAAAGCCTTAATATTTACTGCTGAACTCTCTGAATGCACTTGCGCAATACATCTGGTTCTCAAGCACTGTTCTGTACTGAATTCATCTGCGTTTCAGGGCTTTGGGCTTATCTTTCTCTAACAGTTAAAATGTTGCTACATCATTTGTCCAGATATCAGTACTAAAGTACTTGGGTTGACCTGGCATTTCAGTACTGGAAGGTGATAAAAAAAAAAAAAGGACCTTTATCCACCTTAGTGTATCTTTCCAGGTAAATCTGGTAGGAAAAGTCACACACAAATTATATTTGTACAGTT